CATCATTCTTGTGTGTCTAAAGCTTTGGAGAGGAGATCTTTTGAGAAGAAGAGCTTGGAGGACAAAAGGTTAGGGGCAACGAGGTGTGGGAAATCAAGAATCTACCTCAGATAGCATCATTTGGAGGTATCAATTCGTCACCTTTACTTCATTCTTCTTCTAGATCTCTTTTAGTTGAGATCTAGGGTTTTTATGGTTTGATTGAGATAATAATGTGGGATATGAGCTAGATCGAAATTTGTAACTTCAGATTTGGACCCCTCTTGGGTTCTAGAGTCATAAAGCCCCGAATGTGGTCATGTATGAAGCCTCTTTGAAGTATGAAACCCCATTGTGAGCTTGGATTTGACATTTGGAGCCTTTGTACCTATGTATGCACGTAAAGTTTACAACTTTACGTGAAAAGCATGCCTTAGAAGCTTACATCTGTAATTTGGAGCCACTGCATGGCTTAAAAGAGTTTGTATGGCTTAAGGACTGAAGGAACTCGACGAGTCGCAAGGTTGACTCCGCGAGTCTCATGAAGATGAGCCTGGACCCGACAAGTTGGATGAACAACTCATTGATTTTGATGAACATTGTTGTAGACTCGATGAGTTGGATGAACAACTCGGCGAGTCGGTTGAGGTTTCCCCAATTTATGTATCCGTGTGTAACCATCGATTTACAAGAAGGAAACCCGACGAGTGGCCCTAGGTTTTCGATCATAAACCGAAGGAACTCGACGAGTCACTCCGGTGACCCACCGAGTAGGCAAGTACTTCAAGGAACTCGGCGAGTAGCCGATGGTACTCGGCGAGTTAGGGTCAACATGGACTGTTGACCTTGACTAATGACTTTAACTTTGATCAGGGTTCGATTAGTTGGCTTATGAGATACCTTGAAAGGTTGGGAACTTATGAGTATGATTATGCTATGATATCAGGTGGTGGAGTTTGGGGCGGTGATCCGAGGGTTGAAGTTTATCTACCAAGTCGACATCTGCAAGGTGAGTTATCCTCACTATATCAATAGGGTCTAAGGCACCAAGGCTAGCCCTTTAGTTGTTATTGTTTTGGTATGCTACCTATGGTTATGATCTGTTAGATCAGAATCAGGATAGACAGTATGCTATGCTCTTATGATCCGTAGGGATTTGTATGATAGTGACCCGCTAGGTCGATGCTCTAGTTGTGAGAGATTGCTATGATTGATGATCAGTGAGATACATATGTTTGTTTATATATATATATATATATATATATATATATATATATATATATATATATATATATATATATATATATATATAACAGTATATGCTAGTTATGTGCACATGGTTATTTGCTTGTTGTTTGGGTTGAGGCGGTCCTGCTTTGTGTTGAAGGCCAACACACCCTATGAGCGGTCCGGGGAGACTGTAGGCCCACATGGCGGTCCAGTTATGCCGAAGGCTCGAGGCGGATTTAGATAGACTGTAGGCCCTGCAGGATGGTTTAGTCAGGCCGATGGCCCAGTATGCATTTTCTTGATTGTCTATTATTGATACGGTATTAACGATGTGGTATTGGTATTTTTGGGGTAGCTCACTAAGCCCTCGGGCTTACAGTTTCAGTTTATTATTTCAGGTACTTTAGGATATCATGGCAAGGCGAAGGCGTGACCGTACCGCTCCTCATCCTTTTGATCTAGTTATTGGGACACTCTGATGAGCAATGATTTGAAAACATTTTGTAAACAAATACTATTTGGTTTTATTTATGATTGAAAAAGTTTAAATTTGGCGTAAATTTTTTGGATGTGACAAGTTGGTATCAGTGCCTTGGTTTGAGTGAACTAGAGGAACGCTCGTGTGAATCCAATCTCAAATTAAGGGAATTTTCGGAATAAATACTAAAATGGTTTTCAAAATAAAGGATGGAGGATGCAGAGGGTACGACCAGTCGGAGCTCGTAAGTAAGTCCCAAAATACCATACAATTATTTGATATTATGATATGATAGAACAGCATGCTAGTGCTAGACTAGGAGTCTTCAGGAATCGCATGATAAAGATTTGCCTGATAATATGATGCCTGCTAGCCTAGGTTTTCTTGTATATGGAATTGACATCATAATTGTTGATGTTTAGTGTATGCATCACTGCTGTGTATAATCAAGATCTTATAGCCTGAGAATGTCCGATTCGACCTTAGTGTGGGATTACATATTTGAATGTCTATCGGGTCCAGTGTTATGTGTGGCTAGTATACACTAGTGTTTCAGGGTTGGTGAAAGTTCCATGGATGTGTGAGTTGTGAGATCAGTTGCGAGATAGTCGATATTCCCCTAGAAGTGACGGTTGAGCGCATATTATGTTCATGATAGTGTTAGGGTGTTGTGATGATCCTTGAGACAAATATGGGTAGGTGTGAAAGGTAGTATGGGCCCGTACTACTGAAAGCATAGGACCAATACGTGTAGCAAGGAAGTCACAACCCCTAGGGTTGTGGGAATTGGTCTTCCGATATCATTTCGTTTATCTGACATCTTGGTTATATTTTTTAGTATGGTGGTGACGAGACATTTTACTACTGGATCCGGTTCAGGGTCAAGATCAGAATCAGGATCGGGAGACGGAGGGTCGGAGGTGCCGGTAGCACCTGAGCCCGTGGTACAGATAAGGACATGGGAGTTGGATGCCAGGATCCGGGAGATTCTGCACAACGAGAATGTTGCGGCGTTCCGAGCGCAGTTGCCAGAGATGTTTGGGTCGATCAAGACCGTGATGGTTGAGTACTTTGATGAGCGGTATGCAGCTCTAGCAGAGACAGTTTCCGTTGCAGCCACATCGGTTGTAACCGCGGTAGGGGTTGAAAGGAGGAGCTAGCACGAATTTCCAGTACCAGGACTTCGATAACACATAGCCCCCAATGTTTGATGGTACACTAGATGCAATCAGGTCTATGAGGTGGTTATCTGACGTGGAGGGCTGTTTCTTCACGTGTTCATGTCCTGCTGACCAGAAGGTCAGGTGTTCCCTGAACATGTTGAGGCATGGGGCAAAGGGCTGGTGGAGATTGACGACAAGGTCGTACACTAATGATTAGCGAGCTGCTAGTACTTGGGAGCAGTTCCGAGATATGTTCTGCAGCCGCTACGTTCCACACGTTGAGCGGGAGCGGCTTGCTCAGGAGTTTTTGACTTTGAGGCAGGATGGGGAGTCAGTGATGGATATCATTCGTATGTTCACGGAGAGGGCTATGTTTTGCCTAGAGTTTGCTTCAGAGTAGTCTCAAATGAATCGTTATCTG